TACTGAAAATCTCTAGTTAACTGTCGATTCTGAGTTAACTACGCACTGTGAAATTGGCCCTTAGTGTCCGTGCAATGAGGAAATTTCCTTCGTGTTTAGAAGCGAAACGCACAGCTTCTAGAAATTGTAAATGCCGAGCAATACGCGTTAAAAGCACCGACGACAATTGACACCAAGCCCTTTTGTTACCGCAAAAGAACAGCCGGTATCATATCTGGCACCGTCTGTGAAAGTAAGCTCCCAGGCCATTTATGAGTATAGAGNCCGAGCAATACGCGTTAAAAGCACCGACGACAATTGACACCAAGCCCTTTCGTTACCGCAAAAGAACAGCCGGTATCATATCTGGCACCGTCTGTGAAAGTAAGCTCCCAGGCCATTTATGAGTATAGAACTGGGAAAATGCCCTTGCGGTAGAGTTTTTACTTTAGTAAGCATGGGAGTAGATATGATGTCCAAATATTTGATGTAGCTTAATATACGAAATAAAGCTGATTGCTTGCGTCATCGGTTTTATTGTTGAAAGCAGGATTCGATGTGAGAGAATAATGTCTCATTTCTGCAGTGAACAATCTTTGGGATGAGCATCATTGTGTTGTACCTTACCCTATGGTTATGATTCTTCTAACTGCTGCATGGTAAGGTGTTTCTGGCAATTTAAGTTGCTTTTTGCACAGTGTCCGTAAATTACGAGTCCAAAGTCAACTTTTCCCAATATAAAAGCCCTAATTACTTTTCCCTGTGTAGTTATATGAACTAAAGAATACTTGGATGATAAAACCTTAATAATACAGTATATTTTGCTTAGCTGCCCATCCTTCTTTGCATGGAAAACTTGTGCGCCTAACCCAAAAAAGCACTTAAGCGAATTTTCTTTACTACTTCATGGAAATCAAATATTGGAGGAGCACTTACCTCGTAGAAATTACTGCAAGCGAAAATTTTCCGAATGGAATCTAATTATCTATATAACCACATAAAATGATAGCAGTTTCCGTTGTTCTGCGAGATANCCTCGTAGAAATTACTGCAAGCGAAAATTTTCCGAATGGAATCTAATTATATATATAACCACATAAAATGATAGCAGTTTCCGTTGTTCTGCGAGATAAGCAAAATAAATAAGAGCTTGTAAAATTAGGGTAAGTGTAGAGCCAGTGCAGGTAAACGTAATCCTTTCTTCGATACAGTGAAACCCGCTTAAGTACCTAACCAACATTTTTGGGCGCCGTGAATATTTTAATGTAATCTCAAGAAAATCCCTCTCTTAAGTACCTCCCTCTTATTTATCCAACCCGCCTAAGTACCTAAATTTTTGGTACCCCATTTACCATTTTACTTATAATTTTCCCCTTTTAAGTGCTCCCGCAACACGTTCGGCAGAAAAAAAAAATCTAAAAAATCAACGGTAATTTTTAGCCACTTGTAACTTGCACATTATTACACTAAAATTGAATGGGCTATAAAGAAAAGTTTAATACTTTGATGAAAATTTCATGAATTTTTTTTTTCAGTGTTCTAAAAAATTTTAAGCTTAGGTATTTGGTATTTGTTAGGGAGTGAACTGTGTCTTTATTGAAAAATCTTAAAAATTAATAAATAAGTATAAGTGGCAAACAACATCATTTTGAATTTGGCCTGAAATGATAGATATGTCCAACACTGTATGTATGTATAAATTAATTACTGTAAAGAATTGAATTCCTGAAAAAATTACACTATTGCTTTATCGATTTTGTTTTTATAAAGTTTCTGTTTGTGTATTTATGTGTTTAAATAATGCTACAATCTTGGTTTTAAACTGCGTTCACTTAATTAAATGTTTATGTTTTCTTCTAGAACTTATTTATGTAAGTTAACAAGAAGATTAACTACATCAATAATTATTTTCGCTTAAGTACCCGAATCGAGGTTGACATTTTTCGTGAGGGTTTTACTGTAATTGATAATATTTGCAAATTTTTAAGGCAGGTATCGCTAATGTTCAGGTACATTGATTGCAATAATCGGAGCAGTTTATAAATGTTATAAATAATGCCGCTGATGCGCATTTTGGGGTAGGTATCTTAAATGTGCACTTAAGCATAAAGGCAGCAAAGCAAAATATATTGTATTTAGTCTAGCAAGTAAGCTTAATCTTACATTATGACAATGCTGTTTAAAAGTAAGTTTATTATCAAAAATTATTCCCAATATTTGCAATGTGACAGTATAGGAGATAGGGTTGTTAGATATGGAGAGGGTTGGAGGTACACATTTGTGTTTTCCGCATATGTGAAAAAACCGAAATCTTAGCTCCTGAAGATTTGAACCAGTTGCGGCAAGTCCTTAGTCTTAGAAAAAAATATGATGGAGCTAACTTTCCCAAAGGCTATATTGAATAAAATAACCGAAAGTAGTAATCCTCGTGGGGCACCATTAAAGCGAGGAACAGTTTTTGATTAACAGTTATTGACCCGAACAGCGAACTTCCGGTTGTAAAGGACCGGAAAGACTTAACAGCATTGTACATCCGCTCACCATTTTTCCAGCGTAATACTTTATATAAGCAAGAGAGGAGGGAAATGGGTCTGTTGTTAGAAATTAATGAATTGTTTCCATTTAGTTTGGCAATAGGAATAACAATGGCAATTTTTCACTCTTGTTGACGCTTGAGATAGAATGGAGTTTGATGACTATATATTTGACGGAATATGGAAGATTTTTTGTTGTATCAAATTTGGTTTCGGTTGGACAGATATATCGCATTAGCAGGGCTGCCATAATCCTGAACCCATCGAACAGGACACATCATCCATATAAAAACAAAGGTACAAGTGAATATGGTGCGTGCCATTTGCTTTGGTTCTGGCGTTGCATTACTCTGAAGTAATTTCCGATATTATAAACAATGTAGTTTTGTGGCACAATCCGTAGAGATGAATGAATTATGATTATGCGGTTGTATGAAACGCTCAGAATTTGAATATTTGTCATAATACAGTTATGTCAAAAATAATAGCGAAACGACATTTTGACAAGTTTTGACCATTTTTCATTTTTAATGCTTATATTTTTTTATGATGACGAAGCTCATTATCTAACAAAAACCTCATGATTCTATATTTCAAACTTTTGAACGCCAACATTTTACAACCAACATTTTACAACAACGACAAATTTTTATTAAGAGGTTAGCGAAAGTTTCAAGTGGCTAAGAATTCGCGTGGATAATTTTTTTGCCGATGATATTATTTTCTTACACACAAAAAATATATTCGAACATAGAGTAACTTACACATATATAGTTTTTGTTTTAATTTTCAAAAAGTTTTTCACGTAATTTTTTTTTTTCTATAAAAATATTGTCCAAACTTTAGATAAAACCCTCTAAATAAGAATTTCAAACTTTATACTAAATTTAGAAAAATGCATAAACTTTTCATAAAAAATTCGAGTTTTCATTCATCTTTACAATATTTTTGTGTATGCCGTTTTATAGCACATACCATTTTAAATTTATGTAGTGCAGGTTTTAATCGCGTTGATTTTTAATTTTGTTTTTTGTTGACTGCCTTTTCGGTTTATTAACTGACTTCAAAAAAGGTGGAGGTTATCAGTTCGTCGGAATATATCTTTTTTTTATATATGTTACCGCATAACTTTGCACAACGCTAACCGATTTCGATAATTATTTTTTCAGAAATAGATAGATAGCTAAATAATTGGATCGTCAAGAAATTAACGATAATCTTAAATTTTTATATGAGAATTGAAGTCGGTTTTGTTTTTTGCTTAAAAATTACTTGTTTTATAGAACAAATGCAATTTACAAAAACCGGCTTTGATTTTTTTAAACTTTTTTGCGAACGGTCTAGCACATTTTATTTCATAAAAAAAGCATGCTTATATGGAAAAAAGTGCAAAAATGTGCACTGCACACACAAAAATGTTGTAGAGATTCAGACTAAAGACCTCAAAATTTTAATGTATATTTTATAGTTGTATAAAGTTTAAAACTCTGATTTATATGGTTTTGGCTAAAGATTGGACAATATTTTAATAGCAAAATACCAAAATAAATTAGACTTGAAAAACGTTGTGAATAATCAAAAAATCAACCCGTAAATACTTTGTATGAAAAAAAAATGTGTGACACCGTCAGCAAAAAAAATTATCAAAAATCAACGCGAATTCTTAGCCACCACGTGCCAAAAATTAAATTGGCGTCTGCAATGACCTTCATTAAAAACCCAGACCAATTTAGGTGTGGACCAGGACAACAGGGCAGTTTTCTAAAACCAGGGTAAATCCCTATATTAGGTAGAACTAGTTTAGCCTGTGCAAAACTAGTTTGATCTAAGATCGGATTTTACCGGTAACATATACATACATACATACCTACATACGTAGGCACATGTAACTTAACTGCCACAAAATGTTAATAAAACAATTTTCCAGGAAAATTGTGTAAATAGAGGATTTTGCTCTTTTAACAAAGTGTTATTACAGATAGTGGAATTTTCAAAATGAGACTACAATACCATTAAAGCTATATTTTAAGTTTGGCATTATTGTCATGGCTGAAATATTAATTGGAGCTCACGAAACCATCAAAAACTTAGTTTTATCAAATTTTCAGATAGAGGGTATTGAATATAAGCCCTCGATATGTCAGTTCAAAATTTTAAAGCCGTTTATTAATTATTAATGCAGAGATAAAATTTGCTAAACCATTAAAATTACTCTATCTTAATTTCCAGAAAGTATGTTTTCAACAAGGCAAAATCTTTAAGCAAGTTTATGGAAAAAAGATGTCTAAACGTAAATCTAACTCATCAAATTCACATATTTATTTACCAGGACGGTATATTTCGGTAGGAGTTTAGTTATTCTCTCAAAATAGTCGATTGTAATATTTTAACACTTTTTGTTTATTTCCGAATTTTAAAAATTATATCATGTTTCACAACGTACTTTGTAAGCATAATAACGACTCCAATATAATTTTTTCCTTTCAGAGACAGTGGCCAAAACAAGATGGCGAAGTTTACGTGATCAATTTCTCAAAGAAGTCAAGAGGGTTCCAGTATACAGCTCCGGGGAATCCTATTACATCGAGGAAAAGGAGAAACCAAAATGGACTCATTTCAATAACTTAATCTTCTTATTGGGAACGCACAGGCCAAGAGAGAAGGTTATCGATATTAAGCCAGATTCCATAATTGATATTCGCTCATCCGAGTCTAGTAATTCGTGGGATGAAACCAAAATTGTGGCTGAGCCTTTTTCACCTCTCCTTCCAACGCCACAGTCTCAAAATTTACCCCCATCTACGAGTACAGCAAATATCTTTACAAGCATAAGAAAGGTGTACAAACTGGAGGAAGATCTTGATCCGAATTTGTGTGATGTAATATGGAAAGACGAGACTGACGCATTTGCCTTCGATGAAAGTAAAAATCAAATCGATGATGGTGTGCCGCCTTTAGTAATGATAAGGCCTCAACCCGCGGATCCAACCTATAATGGCGGCAAAAGAGCTTATCCTCAAGAACACGATAATAAAGCGGATGTGTCCAACTTGGACTACAAATGCCCCGCTAAAAGACAAGCACTAGAACTAGAAAATCCTACTGAGTCCAAATATTGCACTGAGGACAATGAGAATTTACTATTTTTTCGGTCAATTTTGCCTTACATGAATAAGATGGATCCTATGCAGCAATTACGAGTGCGCATGCGGTTTCAGGAAGCAATGCTTGAAGAACTGTACGGAAAACGAGATTAAAACTTAAGGCTACTACGCACAATAAATGTTCTGCGAATGAACTATACTGCACTTACTTTGGCAAATAATATTGCATTGCATTTTATTTTATCTCAAACGCTTATAAATAGCTTAACTGTTAATTACATATATGATCATAAATACAACTTTTGTTAGGGTCTAAGTAATATAAAATTAAAAAATATTTGGCGCTTACACATTTTATTGCGTGCCTGGCCGAACTTCCCTTCCAATTTCTGATGTGCATCTTGATGTTGTTACACAAATCGAGGGACGGCAAACTGACCTTACGAGAAGCCTTGTTAAGGCAGAAACACACTCTGAGTTATGCAATTGCCTGCCGAGAGGCGACCGTTGTTTAGAAAAAAATCTAGATTTGAGATGCTGCTATGATCAATGATCGAACCTTGGTTCTACGGAGTGGTAGTACCAAAGAAGATAGATAATAGGAAGGGACAACATGTTATAATAGTAGCGAGCGCGAGTGACAGGGNGCAGAAACACACTCTGAGTTATGCAATTGCCTGCCGAGAGGCGACCGTTGTTTAGAAAAAAAATCTAGATTTGAGATGCTGCTATGCTCAATGATCGAACCTTGGTTCTACGGAGTGGTAGTACCAAAGAACGTAGATAATAGGAAGGGACAACATGTTATAATAGTAGCGAGTGCGAGTGACAGGCNTTATTTTATCTCAAACGCTTATAAATAGCTTAACTGTTAATTACATATATGATCATAAATACAACTTTTGTTAGGTTCTAATATAAAATTAAAAAGTATTTGGCGCTTACACATTTTATTGCGTGCCTGGCCGAACTTTNCGAGTGCGCATGCGGTTTCAGGAAGCAATGCTTGAAGAACTGTACGGAAAACGAGATTAAAACTTAAGGCTACTACGCACAATAAATGTTCTGCGAATGAACTATACTGCACTTACTTTGGCAAATAATATTGCATTGCATTTTATTTTATCTCAAACGCTTATAAATAGCTTAACTGTTAATTACATATATGATCATAAATACAACTTTTGTTAGGGTCTAAGTAATATAAAATTAAAAAATATTTGGCGCTTACACATTTTATTGCGTGCCTGGCCGAACTTCCCTTCCAATTTCTGATGTGCATCTTGATGTTGTTACACAAATCGAGGGACGGCAAACTGACCTTACGAGAAGCCTTGTTAAGGCAGAAACACACTCTGAGTTATGCAATTGCCTGCCGAGAGGCGACCGTTGTTTAGAAAAAAAATCTAGATTTGAGATGCTGCTATGCTCAATGATCGAACCTTGGTTCTACGGAGTGGTAGTACCAAAGAACGTAGATAATAGGAAGGGACAACATGTTATAATAGTAGCGAGTGCGAGTGACAGGCGTGTGCCTTCTCTTTTCATCCAATCAAAAAAACGTATTTGGGTAAAAGAGAAGGTTACTCACACCCGCTATAACGTGTCTTCTTATTTCTCTTTCACGTTCGAGTGAATTTTAACCAATTTAAATTCAAAGCGACTCAAATTCACTTCCTGCAGTACGGGGGAGCGACTACAGGACTGATGAATCGGTAGCTACCTGATAAACTCCGTCAATTACCGACCGACTACTTGCACTGTATTTCAGCGATTCCAATACAAGGCAATGTCCTAGGCGGTAGTCTTCATCGGCTCTCTCTGCACTACCGCGATTTACTAAAGTAGTCACTTGTGTGATTTATGGGCGCCCTCTGTCGTAGTTTTTTGCTATTCTGTTCCCGACTGGTTCGATTCTGCACCATGTGCACTACCACGGGTTAATAGAGTAGCTACTTACATAGGAGTCGGTGCGGTAGCAGTTCTAAAGTTGCGATTGACTCCAGCAGTACTGGAAGGTTGGAAGTGAATTGCAGAAACTGCCGGAATATCTATTCTATTTAATATTCGTAAAAATATAACAAATTCAGCCCAAATTAAAGGTCTAAAGATCGATTCCTGGTCCCAGCAATATGAACGTTTTTACAGGCAATGGCAAATTACCGTATATATTTCTGGCATGATTGAAAGTGCTGCCACACATTTAGTTTTAACAAGCATATGCTTTTTCGCTTATGATCGTCATTGTACCATGATTTTGTTACCATTTTTGTAAGGTTCATTCCGAAGCTTCCAATTGTTATAAATTTGACTTGCATTTTTTTCATATTTACCGTTACCAAAAAACACACCAAGCACCAAACTCAAAAATTTTCGTGCTTTGAATTAAGAAAAGCAATCAATCAAACGACTTCCATACTTTTGTTGTATGTTCTTAATGGTACACCCCTACTCCCTCTCTCATAAAGATTTGAAGTCAATCCAACAACAATAATAAAACCCGCAGACAAAAATGTAAATTAAGGCAGATGTTACAGTTTTGCACTTATATATTTTTAATAACTTTTTGACAATTTTCATGAAAAAAAGAACACACAACACAATTTTCAGTATACTTTTGCTTTTTTTTATTTCCTGGCTGCAATTTGGCATACCTTATTTGAATCTCTGTAAAAGTTCTGGAAGCATAGCCTCCCATATATCCTTGGTTTGCTTTCATAGCTCATGTACTCCATTGGACGGACTTGCATACTTAGTAGGCTGCGATTTTAGTTGATTTCGCAAATTTTCGACGAGATTCATATTCGCGGATTGTGGAGGTCATCTCAAAATAGCAAATTTTTGCTTTTGCATCCAGTCTTTGCGAACATATGCAGTATGTTTTGGGTGATTTTTCAGCAGAAACTCTCATTTTTCGACTACATCTTGCAAATTTTGTTGAAATATGAACGCATAATGCGTACTAACGGACCAACACTATTTTTGAAATACAACCTCAAACTATTATTGACCGGCCACTGTGATTCACAGTTTGCCTTACATGATGCGCATGGGCTTAATTTGGATCTTTGATCCAATACCATGCCCGGCCATCTGATTGAAAGGGATTAATTTAGTCTGGTCAGACCAACTAACCTTCAATTAAATCTCAAAAATGTGTTTTTTATTGCATTCTGGAAGGGCTAAATCCCAATAGGCAACGGTCCGGTTTTCGTGCGATCCGGCAGAATCCTACCACTCTCGCACATGTATTTTGATCAAAATTTTATTTTTCATCTTTTATGCTGCCTTGCGCTCAATTTGGCAATTATTCGCCTCGCTGTCTACTGAATTCCATTAAATTTTAATACCTTAAGCGCTTCTGTGATAGTGGCTGCAGCGCTACATGCTACTTAGTTCACAAGATATCGGACCGTAATATTTTTTGGCAGACTTCTTTTGTCCTTAATAACATTTTAGGCTATATTTTTTCTCAGTCTTAACATTTTCACGTGGCGAGCTCCACAATTTTTTGCCACTTTTCCTACGGTCCCGCGTTTCCGCAGTAAATCTATTATTTACATTTATGTTTCCTGATTAACCATATTATTTACTGGTAATCACTTCTTGAATAAATTACAATACAGAAAAAAGTCATTTGACTTCCAACTAAGTAAAAGATAACTGTAAAATGCAAAACTGAGAGTGAGTGCAAATCTGTAACATTGGGCTTAATTTACATTTTTGCTTGTTGGTTTTATTATTGTTGTTGGATTGACTTCAAATCTTTATGGGAGAGGGAGTAGGGGTGTACCAATAAGAATATACAACAAAAGTATGAAAGTCGTTAGAACTTGGAAAGATAGCGGTGACTGAAATAAAAAGTGCCGTTTAAAGTACTCCTCTTGGGTAAGATGTGATCAGGGTTGATAATGAGAAGGAGCATGAATTTTTCCGATTCAGAGTTATGTACAAATTTACTGTGGTATGAAAGGGAGCAACAACCGTACTATGGCCGAGTGGCACAGGTAATTTTGTAAATAAACACTTTTTTTCAGTGCTATAATTACGATTTGAGTTTCCAGTTTAAGGAAATACAATCAATAATTAAGTACTTGTACTATTGATATTATTCTAACTAAGCATTGATATTATATTTAACCTACACTTTGTTCATAAATAACACAATTATATATATTTTATCCTCGAAAAGAACTTCTTCTAATCATGAGACGAAATTCTCCACAATAAGTGTTGCCATGCGTGCAAAACGGAAACGCTGCACACAACCCAAAAGTACTCCTCGGGGACCAATTGGTGAAAAACTACGAAGTGGTTTATTAATGTATTTACTGTGGCCAGCAGGTTGCGTGTTGCTGGAGCTGTAGCTGAACGGTTGTGCCATACTATGCACCTTAGTTAATGTACCATTCTTTGCACGCACATACATATATATGAATGTATGTGCATTTTGTTTTACTTAAATACATACATATTAACGGAACATTTATTTAAAATTTACTATGGTTCTACTTACCAAAAACAAACCTTTGTGTTGCATTTGTAGATTTTTTTGAGTGTATCGATGAGCTTTTGTGCTTTCAACAAATACTCAAAATGTGATTGTGTAAAGGTGTTCTTACACGATATGTATTTGCATGTGTACATGCCACTTTTTACATATGGAAACGTCAACATATCGTGTAAAGGCAAATTAGATTTGTTTCTGTACAAAGCATCNTAGTTGATATACTTTGCAAGATATATGTATACATCAAATTCTATAAAATTTAATTTTTTGTAAAAATGTTGGTTTTTTATATTTTTATAAGTTATAAACTATAATTACGTACATATGTATATGCGTCACTAAGCGGCGAAGTTAAATAATAGCAATACTTAATGAAAAATTTAAACTGTTCAATCCTTCATAGTTTCTATTTTTATAAATAAGAACCAGAATAGGCATATGTACAGCCTTTTTTTATTACCTTCCTTTTATTAGCTCGGGATGTAACTATGTAATATTGATGCGCCTAAAAGATGCAGCGATTGCTATTCTCAAGTTACATACCTGATGACAGTACGGATAGCAATTATAGCAGGGAGGTTTTAGTTTTTTAAACTATAATTTTATTTATTTAGCTCAATTACAATTTGACGATTCTTTCCCCCTAATGCCGATTTTATATTTTAGTGTTTCCACCAAATTACATAAGTACATATTAGAGTGGTTCATAAAAACACTCTTTTTGGAAAATCATAATCATTGTTATTTGCGATAAAAAAGGAGATGCGTATTTTTTTATT